TCTGCCGTAGCGCTTTCGTCGGGTGACGCCACTAGAACGCAAAAAACACCATTTTTTTGTAAATTTATAAATAACAAGTAAGGAAGGGCTAAGTTCGGATGTAACCGACATTTTATACTCTCGCAAAGTCAAATCTTATACTCGTTTGAGATTTCTATGTGGATTGGCTGATATTTTCGGTAGAAGGTCAACTATAGGCACTGGGGTCCACATATTTAGTACTTAGGGGCTTGAACAATTTTGGTTCGATTTAGAAAGTTTTTGTTCACAAGGTGGCATACTTTAAACGTATTATTCACGCAAAGTTTTACGCCGATATAATCATTGTTGCTTGATATGCATAGTGGAAAGTGAAAGAATCAGATGGAATTAAAAATAGTGTTATATGGGAAATAGGCGTGGTTGTAGTCCGATAGACTACACTATAACATAGAAATATGAAAATAACGTTATGTACCGAATTTTGTTGAAATTGGTTAAGCAGATCTCAAGATATGGGTTTTCACCTAAAAGTGGGCTGTTGAACGCGGTTCCTATAAAGTCATCTCATACCATCCCAGAGATAAAATTTAATGTCTCTGTCGTGTTTAGTGCCTGATTTATCGCGCTTTTAGTAGTTTTTAACAGTACCGTTATATGGAAAGTGGGCGGAGTTGGCACCCGATTTCAACTACTATCACACCATCAATAGAAGTGCTAAAAACATTTGCTTCCAGTGAATTTTGTTATTATAGCATTAGCGGCTTAGGAGATATACACATTAAACCTCTTAGAGGCGGGACAACGCCCACTTTTAAAAAAAAAATTTTAACTGCAGATGCCCCTTCCTAATGTGATCCTGTGTACTAAATAACAGTCTTGTATCTTATTGCGGAGCTTAGTTATGGCAATTTATTCGTTTTTGATTAATGGCGTTTTGTGGGCGTGGCAGTGGTCCGCTTACGCCCAGCTGCAATACCAACCGTCTCACGGTACCAAGAAACATGTCTACCAAGTTTCATAAAGATATCTCAATTTTTATTCAAGTTACAGCTTGCACGGACGGACGGACAGACGGACGGACGGACAGACAACTCGTCTCTTCATCCTGATCATTTATATATATATAACTCGATTAGTTTTAGATGATACAAACAACCGTTAGGTGAACAAAACTATTATACTCTGTAGCAACAGGTTGCGAGAGTATAAAAAAAGATACGCTTTGTAAAAGGCCCCATAGTTTACAAATTTATTGTAACAAACCCTGGACACGGCGAGTATACCTCAGAAAACTGGAAGAAGCGGGGGAAGCAAAAAGCTTCGTTACAACTACTAAAAGTATAATAACTTACTAACTAAAAATGTCAGATACAAAAAATTTTACACCCAAAACAGCACAAACGACTTTCATAGGGGTCAATATCAATATTTGATGATGGGCGTGGACCCATGCACCATTAGGTGAAAACCCACATCCCATGAACTAATAGAGCGAACCACCAAATTCGGTGCATTACATTATGTGTTTTGACATTGGTATGGTACGTTGTGAAAAAAAAGTAAAATCGGTCCACAACTACGCCTAGTTCGCATGAATTACAATTTTAAATTTTATCTGATTCTTTCATTTTACAGTGTAGATATCAAATACTAAAGAAGATATCGAAATAAAACTTTATAAAAAGAGAGGTTTTGAAGCATGGGATCTTACTGTCGAAATCGGACCACAACTTTTCGAGCGCCAGGTACTGCATATGTTGTTCTCAGTGCTTGATATTTTACTTAAAATATAGATAAATTTCTGAAATACCTATATGTTTTTAGTTTTTTTTTTTATAAAAATTTTTTGATCCTTTCTAGGAAAGTAAACTCTTTTGTTCTGGAGGGTCTGGAGTTCAGAATCACAGAATTGAGTTTATGTTATAAACCGGAGGGTCCCCTTGCGGCGGTGAATCGCGGTTTCAAAATATTTGTTATGTGGCTGGTCGAGCCTTCATTTATAACATGTTTTTGTTTTATAAATTTGAGTACTTGTAAGTTTCAGATTTACAATGCTCACAGTACTTAGGCTTAAATTATTTTATATTACTGGGATTATTGCACAAAATGTTTATACAATTTTGTTGTTATAAATTAAATATATCATAAATATATTAAAGTATTTACTTACTACTTTTCGTTATTTTCTAAAGGGGTTGGTTGATTGCTGTTTTAATTCCATTAATAGTGTGGATTGCTGTTTAGCTTCCCTGGTCGTTTTGTTTTTAATTAATTGTGTCCCTCGTTGGCAACGCTTCGTCTTAGCGTGCAATGCCTTAATTCTTCTTTTTTGTGTTATTCTGTTTGTTCTAGTTTTTTTGTTATTGTAAATCATTTATTCACTTTTGAAATTTAGTAATTTTAATGTTCTTGTAAAACATTTATTCACTTGTGGAATTTAGTAATTTTAGTGTAGTTGTAAAAAATTTATTTACTTGTGGAATTTAGTAATTTTAATGTTCTTGTAAATAAATTATTCACTTGTGGAATTTAGGAATTTTAATGTTGGTGGAAAATTCGTCCTAGTTTGTTTTTTTTTCTTTTACTTTTTTTCTCCCGAGAGGATACTTTATTGTTAGATTTGCGGTTCCGACACGCGTCACTGTGATTGTCCTTTCGGCTATGGATACTTGTTATTTTCTCCCTCTTAACATATGTAACACATGCCCCACGTTGTTGGGCGCCAATTAACTTCCTTCGTTTAGGAAGTGTTAAAAAAATGTAGTTTTCCGCAAATGCGCGGAAGAAATCAAATATGATAGTTTGAGTGATCCTGATGGATAACTGATCTCTTTATTTCAATTTACTCTTATTTAAACAATTTTCTTATTTGCTTAATTCTTACAATAAGTGTCAGTTACAATATTCGCTTATTCAGTAATTGGTTTTATTGTTTACATTTTGTTGGTGGTCTTAGCTTGATGAAAAATAATATTGGCTACTTAAATAAGCAAAGATGCTTATTAAAAAGCTGTGGTCTTAGCTTAATGAAAAAGTATATTGATTACTTAAATAAGCAAAGATGCTTATTAAGAAGCTGTATTATTGCTAAGTGCAAAGATACAGCTTTGTTTATAATTACACACATTTTTACATCCACACCATTCGCACAGAAGCATTAAAGTCAAATTTCTGAAGACGAATACGATCAACTGGTTGGTTACTGCAAAACTCGGTCCATTGGCTTAAGAGAAACTTTGGGGAAAATCATTCAAATGTTCCAGCCTTCGAAAACGTATTTCAACGACCTTCCTTCATCCCTCAAAAAAGCCAAATGCATCCGCCATTTTTTAATCCACTATCGAAGTTCTGGTTCACTTCTGTTTAGGAACAGGTGAAAATATATTTTTATTAACTGAAAATGTTTAATTTAATTATTATGTCATTAATTTTAGGCCTCGGTTTTCGAAGAAACAATAAAGAAAATTGAAGGCGATGATATTCCAGCAGTTGCAATTTACAAACACTTGCACATTTAATGAACAATTTGCAAACATCCAACCAACACAATTACTTTCCGTTGCAATTGCTTCACGTTGGGTTCAGTATTTTACTTGCTGTTGAAGTAAAGCAAACGAATTAATAAATGAAGCAAAGAGCAGACATCCGTTGACAACCGTTGGGTTCAATGTTATACTTTTCTGTTGAAGCAAAATATACCGTTCGTTGAGCTTTCAAAGATCGCTGAATATGCTCTGACACTACCAGGAACATCGGCACCAGTGGAACGCATATTTTCCACCATTAACAGAATGTGGATATACGAAAAAACTCACCTACAAGTCAGCCCCGTGACATCGATTTTATTTGTGAAGGATAATTTAAAATTTTCTTGTTTGGAATTTTTCACTCAATTAAAACCGCACCCCGAGCTTCTTTGAAAAATCAGTCAACAAGCGACATACGTTAGAGCGAAGACGTCTTCAACAATTCCGGTAACACAGTACACTTTATCACCGGATATACAAACGATTGACAGACAGTGATTGAATCTATTTATCATTTTTAATATTACTTTGATTTCTCTTTTATCATTCATTCATATGCATTATTTTTAAATTAAATTTGTGTTGCTCTTTCACCATGTCGCGATTTCCAGTGAATTATAATATGGAACAAATCGATGACTATCCAAGTAAGGAGTTGCAAGGGAAATTACGATAGGTGTTGGCAAAATTGTACCTATATTAAAGGAACTATTGTCGGGAGTTTCATTTATTTATTTTATTATATGAATTTCAATCATAGTATATCTTACACATTGACCGATATTTTCGCTAAAAAGTCAAGTATAGGCTTTGGAGTTCACATATTCCGTACCTAGGGGCTTAAATAGTTAAGGTTCGATTTAGACAATTTTTGGTCCAAAAGTGGCATACTTTAAATGAATTATTCAAACAAAGTTTTACCCCGATACAATCATCGTTGCTTGATTTTTATAGTGGAAAGTGAAAGAATCAAATGGAATTTAAAATGGTGTTATATGGGCGGGGTTGTAATCCGATTTCACCAATTTTCACAATATAATAAGGAATTATGAAAATAATGTTATGTACCGAATTTTGTTAAAATAGGTTAAGCAGATCCCAAGATATGGGGTTTCCCCTAAAAGTGGGCGGTGTCACGCCCACTGTCTAATTTTGAACGTGGTTCCTATAAAGTCATCTTTTACCATACCAGAGATAAAATTTAATGTTTTCAATTTCCTACAAACGTTCAATTTCCTACAAAACTAATTCGATGCCCCAGCATTATATCAACTGGCTTCGCAAAGAAAAAATTAATAGCAAAAAGTACGAAAACTCCATGTTATTTAAACGGGAAATCGGGGAATCGTCTTTGCGGCACGGGTTATTATCAATATTAAGAGCTCATATGAGTTTCATAATTTTTTTTAGGGCATTTACTAAAAATTTCAGGGGCGCTGCAGAGTCAAAAATCAATTTGGGAAATAACGGACACCCTATTCCTCATATTCCTACAGAACGAAATTTGATTCGTCGCATTAACGACGGTGATTCAAACGTCAAAAAAATAATTCGTTTTTGAAGCGCATTGTTACTGGCGACGAAAAGTGAGTTGTTTACATAATTGTAAAGCGCAACAGATTATGGTCTAAAAAGAATGAACCAGCTCAAATCTCTTTAAAGGCGGATAGTCACAAAAAAAGGTAAAGTTGGTTGTTTGGTGGGATTTAAAAGGAATTTTTATTTTGAGCCGACAATACCACGATTAATTCTGAAGTGTGTTGTGATCAGCTGGACAAATTGAGTGATGCGCTCAAACAGAAGAGGCTGGAATTGATCAATAGAAAAGGTGTAGTGTTTCACCAGGATAATGCGAATTTGATGACTCGCTAAAAGCTTTTGCAGCTTGAATTGGATGTGCTACCACACCCAGCAGATTCTCCAGACTTGGCACTTTTGGACTATTATCTCTTTCGATCTCTGGAAAATTTTTGAAGGGAAGAACCTTCACCTCACCATTTGCCTGTAAGGATAAAAAATTTAAGAACGTGGAATCAATCTCTTGCCGAAAATATGCCAAAAGGTTTTGGATCTAAATGGAGAATACATATTTTTATAAATTGTTTTACACAATAAAACAATCGTGTTCAAATCGTGTTAAAAAAGCTTAATTAATTAATGAACGACATAATATTTTATAATAACTTTTGTTATTTTAGAAGATGTGCGTCAATGTGTGTGATCCTTAAAATTGCATGGAAACGTGTTCCCGGATATACTGTAGTAATGCCACAATTTAACGTAGACAGTCCAAACTTCTCCCTGCCCAAATGCACATGATATAATAATTTTCGACTTTCTAGCTGACTTTAAGCCATATTTGTTGCTCAATATATGTGATATTTCAATGTTTTAATAAACATAATATTGCTTAGCGCTGAATATTAATGAAATCTTTCTAGACCTTGGTCTAAGCCCCTTATCGCCATTATAATGATTACTGTTTAACTGCTTAATTTTTTCCTAATATACCCAATAGTTTAAATTTTGCCTCTCACATCACATGAGGTATAAGACCAATATAATGTATTAAATAATAAGATACCAAACCTGATTGAAATTTTCTCAACCTTTCGTCAAATAATGAATGTTGAATTCATTCACAAACTATTTATACGCCTGCAACATGTTGCTAATAATTTTGTTCACCTAACGGTTGTTTGTATCACCTAGGGTAGGTAGAGTGTCTATCTTACCATACCCCTAGGCCTTTATGAGGTCCATTAATGTATCAGTATGACAAGTTTTATCTGTCATCAAGAAACCCTCGACCGACGGTTGAGATTCCTTTCCTTTAGAGAGCCAATCACATAGAAGATGTTTAATGGTCTCCTCTTCTTCTACCCCTAACAGCTTCTACAATAGTCGTTTTATGGCGTTCCAAGTCTACTGGCATGTCTGCCTATTAGACCGTGGCCTGGTAGTACTCCTACTAGAGTTTCTATATAATTCCATTTGAATAGTCGGCATGTGCGGCCCATAATCCATTCATGCCTCGTTTGCCTGTTTGTTGAGCAAGTCAGCGATTAATTTCACAAAGACTCAGATATATTTATAACATGTTTGTCGATTAAATATCTAAAACAGAGGCATACATATTCCCTCTTTTCCGAAATCTAGTCGGAGGGTGGTGCTAATTCAATTGCTGCACAGTTCCAATGGATATCACTATGTCCTGGGACCCATTCCATATTTATCGTGAAATAGGATGTTAGATCCACTAAAAGATCAAGTCATTATTTCACTAACTTAGACGAAATCATAAAAGACTTTTGTGATCTCAAAGTCGTCTGGCTGTGTGCATATACCTATACATATACATATATATCAGAACATCATGACTATATTTAATTGCTGTGATCTCCACTTGGAATATACTGCAGTGGTCTGAAAGACGCAAGACGGTTTTGGTATTTAGTTTAGCAGAGAAGACACCGAAGCCNCCTCGGTTATCGAGTTTGGAATCGCTTCCGTGTGGATGATTATCCCTGAGTCTTTGTCCGCCTCGCCTCTTTCCCACTCTTCTCTGAAAGAGAAGGCAATATTAGGAACAGGATTTAAATTCAACTCTGTAGGATTTCGAAAATCCGTGGTTATGGGAAGTAACGGGAACTTTCTAAGTATCATTGAATGCCCCTTGTTACTGGCGACTACAAGTACTGGCTGATTTTTATTTGCTTTCCATATGTCTTACCGCGCATTTTTTTTCCGTTATTGCCCAGCATACCAATATACCGTAAGTCATAAATGGCCTTACAACTGCTGTGTAGAGCCAGTGGACTACTCGAGACATTAATCCCCATCTTGGCCCCACCATTATTTTACACGTGTAAAGGGCTGTAACTGCTACCAAGAAAGCCTGTCCAAAATTAATCTCAAGTAGCTTGCTTTATCTCCTATCGTTAACCTGATATTATTTAATAATAGTGGCGCGATTTTTGGAATATTGTGTTTCTGTGAACAACACTAGCTCTGCTAGCATTTAGGTTCAGTCCGCATGATACGGCTCATCGATAAACATGATTTAATATTCTCTGCATAAGGTTAGCGAGGGTATTCGAGAATTTACCTCTAACCGAAACTGATCCATCGTCAGCGTGGACCACAACATGTACCCCATTCTTTTCCAGATCCATTAACATTTGGTTTATTTTAAAGATCTAGAGAAGTGGAGATAACACGCCTCCTTGGGATGTACCCCTTCGGACAAATCTGCTCACCGTTGAAGTTCCCAGCGTTGAAGTAACTGACTTGCCGATGAGCATCTGGGCTTTCTATGTCTAAGAAAGTTACGAGTGCGTATTCTTTTACCTCCAGAGGCTTTTCAATATCTGCTACCACTTGGAATACGCATACTGCGAAACTGACATTTTTTCTTGGTTAAGTTTGCTCTTTATGTACAATATAATTCTATTAGCCTTTCCAACGTTTTTAAGAGAAATTATAATAGACTAATTGGTCTAAAATCCTTTAAATTAATGTGTGAGCTTTTGCCAGCCTTTGGTATATACACCTTTGGTGTATATCACCTTGGCTTTCCTCAATAACGATTTGTTGGAGCTGCCTGGGAAGTGAGTATCCATTAGGCCTCTTCTCAGGATACCGTCAGCTGTGGTCTGGCTTCTGAAGGTATCTAATGTTATACACCGATTGTGCCACTATTTTTCTAAGTCAAGACGCTTAAGCAGTATTCTCAATATCATTACAAAAAGATTTTCACGAATTTCTTTTTGCGTTTCTTATTTCTTTTTTATATCTTTCTGTAAGTTCTTAAATAGGAGACCACCAGGGGGGGCCTAATTCTTCCCCCTCTACGTCTTATTGGACAAGCAATGTCTAATGCTTGTCGCCAGGAATCTGTGAGCTATTTAATAAGAATGTGTAGGTCCACTTTTTTCCCATTTGTTTATGGTTGAAATGGCGAAATCACAGAGATACGCTTTTTTTAGCTCCTGCAGGGGCATCTGCCATTTTATTTTCCTATGATTCCTGATTTTTCTACCCTGTCTACATCGTCTTCAATTATGCAATCAATGTAGTGGTGGTCTCAAAAGGAGTGTTCTTCAGGAACTCTTCATTGAGTTAGCCTATTTATCAATTCTTTCAATATGAGTGTAATGTGTAATACTTCCCGCCGATTTCTTGTTATAAATGTAGGCACATTACCTCTGTTGCATAACAAAAGACTAGTACCTAGTCAGTAGTTAAAGAGCAACTCACCTCTTTCGTTGTTATCCGTGCTGCCCCATCACTGGCTCAAACCAGCACTTTTATCATCTGTGATGGTATTTCTACTTCATCATACCGCATGTAGTATGACACCAGCTGGTATTTGCTGCTGACCGTCTCCCAGCTCCCACGTAGGTCATGATCTCCACCTTTGTGAATCCGTGGTTAATTTCTTAGCCGCTTTTCGAGAGCGGTTCTACGAGTTCCTTTTTAACAACAGCAGAATCTGCTCGTTTCGTCTTCACATCAGATTTCGCTGCAGGGTCTTCAAAGGCCTTGACAAATCTCCATCCCTCTGTTGGTATGTGCGGGTTGCAGGTTCTTGTGAGCTATATTATCTGGTCCGACTCCGATAGTGTAGTGGGTAGTACCCTCGCCCTTGATCGGGAAGGGATATCCTTCCGGTCAACCGCTACTAGCCTGGCTCTGGAGTAGACCTCTCCTACCTTGCCTACTGCGGCGTTATATAGCTGGGCAGATCTCTCGTCGCCACAAGCTTTCATCTTTGTTTGGTCGTGGTATCATTCGGCATCCGTACATGGCGGGGGCGGACCTGGATTGCGTAATAGCACTTTTAGCGCCACATAAGTCAGTGCAGCTTGCAAAAATTTCCATTGGGCTCTGGGTATTTCTTCGGGACCTCTATCCTCAAGCACACCAATGATAATTAGATTCCGGGTAACATCAGCAAATGATTTTGGGGGCGTTACACCCTTAGTCTGACGGCTTAGTCTCTTTAGCTGCCCTCTGTCTTTTGGCTGCTACTACTGGTGGATCAAGTTTAAAATTAGGTAAAACTGCTCTCGCGCAGTCAATAGACTTTTGGAGCTCCTCCATTAGCTCATTCTTGTGTAGCGGTTGCAGCTCTATCTTTCTCAGCAGGTATGCAGCACGTCGCTTCTCTTGTACCTTGTATCGCTTAAAACTAATCGATATTAGATATAGGGTGATATACATATGTATTAATAAATGAGCAGGATGATGAAACAAGTTAAAATCCGGGTAAATCTCTGTCCGTCCGTTTATTTGTACATGCTGTAACTCAAGTAAACATTGAGCTATCGTCATGCATCTTTGTACACGCGTTCATTGGTCAAATTGGGCGAATTTTAGCGTGGGGCCTCCTGTGGTTTCAAAATTTTTTAAAAGTGGGCTTTGCCTCGCGCACTAATAGGTTTAATGTATATATCCCCCAAACCATTCAAGCTATATCACCTAAATTAGTACAGGACAAATCCTTTCGGTGAAATCGGACCATAACCCCGTCCACTCCCCATATCTAAGTCTTGATAAAAACTAATAAATTAATAACCCATTACGTCATAGACATTAAATTTTACATCCAGGATGGCACAAGAAGGCTTTGTAACACTTTGGCCATTGGGCGTGGCACCACCTAACTGAAACTTTCCTCCACATTCGCTATATAACGGTGTGAAAATGGGTGAAATCGGATCAACTTTAAATTCCATCTGATTCTTTCACCGCATCGAATACTTATATCGCGATAAAATTTTATACATACAGATTATTTAAGGATTACATTCCCATGATCTAAAAATTGTCAACATCGGACCAAAACTGTTAAAACCCCCAGATACCGAATATGTAGACCCTAGTTCCTATTGCGCGCTTTTTAATCGGTCAATTTGTGAGATATATTATCGAAGTTCGAAAAAAATCCTTTCCTGTTTACAGTATGCTCGTATATAAAAACTGAGTTTAATCAATACTTCCCTTAGCTCCATATAATACTTCCCTTAACCCCACCTAATATTATCAATCTTCCGGTTGGCCTTATACCGTCAGTGAGTAACAAATCGGTCAGTGAATAACAAATCCTAAGCAAAATCAAGTGAACGTAAAAAATTGGATA